CACATGTACAAGAAACATTATATGGAATGGATGAGAAAGAGAGCAAGGAGGACTTGGAGGGAAAAATGGGGAAATGAAATGATATATCATAATCTCAGAACATTTAAAATTATTTTTAAAGATGTAGATGCTGAAGGGTAGGTAGTGTATCCGAACAAAGGACAGCATGAAGAGGTCTCATTCCTCCTCTTTCAGACAGTAAATAGTTCATGTTAAAAATAGAAAAGCAAACACAGAAAAATGATTGGACATACAGTGGTGTTTTCAAGCCTGGAGATCCTTCTGTAGTCTTAGGGAAACAGGAAGATTTGTCTAGGTATCAGATCTCAGCAAGGACAGCAGCATCTGAGAGGGTCACTGCCCAAGAGCAGTCATTCATGCATTCATTCATAAGCTCTTTGAGCTGTTCTAGCTTCATGTATCATAGAGAACAAGGTCCAGGCCAACGAAAAGATCTCTTTCTTCATCTATATCATCTTAGTAATAAGGCAGTTTATTAAGAGAACTCATACTTGAGTATCTGCTGTGGATGCAGAAAGGGCCCAACAGTAATTTTATAAGAGAACTCACACTAGAATGTCTGCAGTGGATACAGAAATGGCCCAACAGGTTACTTAGTATGTGAAATTCAACTGTTTGCAAAATGAGAAAGACAACAGCAACAACATGTAGTTTCCTAATATTCTCCCTCTGTGTCAAAAATTGCATTTCAAGTGTTCTCCAAATTCTTGTTTTTAGAAATCTACTTAGTTGAGAAAGTAATAGCCCTGGTGAGTAAATATTACTGGTATTCCAAAGTAGCTTTAGAATGCAATCTGGTCTTTATATTCTTAATTGTGAATAAGATAAATGACAAATGGCTAATAGAGAATCTTTTGCACTTAATTTTCATAAGAAAAAGTACCCTCCCATACTATAAAAGCTCTTCCATAGAGAGGGACCTCCAATAAGTTCTACATCAATTCCTCTAAGTCCTATGTTCCAAGCATGTGTTGTCTTCAACAATGGAGTCTTATCTTCAAGTTCTAGGAGGTGACAGAGGTCAATGGCAATAGCCTGCATTGTTTAGGGAATCTCTTGGACTCCTCTGACCAACAACTCAAATAGAGGGTGTCTATGTCTAATCCTAGGGCTTCTGTTAGTCTATGGCTCAGAGGAGGAGCATTACGTCCCCATATGCATAACTTCCTTTAAAACACACACACACACACACACACACACACACACACACACGCACGTGTGTGTGTGTGTGTGTGTGTGTGTGTAGTAATCTTATAAAATAATATTCCTCTACATTTTAAGCATAGTTAGTGTATTTTTCTCCCTCATTCCTCCCACTCTCTATATTGCCATTCCTCCCTTCTCTTCTCTGTTCATTATTGCCCCCATACTTCTTCCTTTCCTTTCATAACACCATCTTTAGAGCTCCTTTCAAGCCCAACTCCCATGGTACCTCTTGCTTCCTTTCCCTCTGTGGTCACTTTTGTCATGTACCCAAGCATAAGATTCAGAGCTGGGAACCAGAAATAGAAAACATGCATGCAGTGTTCCTCTTTCTGAGTGTGGGCTACCCCACTTTGTGTAATGTTTTCCAATTCTATCCATTTACCTGAAATTTTCATGATTTAATTTCCTTTTATGGCAGAATAATATTCCATAGTTCATATGAACCACCTTTATATTATTCACTCATCAGTTGAAGGGCATTTAAGTTGTTCGCATTTTGCAGATATTGTGAAGAGAATGGGAATGAACATGGCTGAGCAAGTATCTGTGGACTAGAATGACAAGTCCTTTAGCATGTGCTAAAGGTTGGTAGAGCTGAGTCATTTGGTAGATATATTTTTAGGTTTTGAAGAATTCTCCATATTAATCTACATAATGGCTGCACCAGTTTGCAACCCTGCCAACAGTGAATGAGAGTTTTCTTTTCTCCACATCCTCACTAGCATTTGTCATCAGCTGATTTCTTGACCTTAGCCATTCTGACTGGGATACAATGAAATCTCAAAATAGTTTTAATTTGTGTTTCCATGATAGTTAAGGATGTTAAGCACAATTTAAAGATATTTCTATTATTTTTTATTTCTTCTTTTGAGAACTCTCTGTTCAGATCCATACCTACAAACCACACCCAGCCTCACAAGATATTGTTAGTGCTTTAATATGGCACTTATATATTGGAGGTAACCAGAAACTCTCTAATTGGAGTTAAGGGTTGTTCAATAGGGGTAATTTATCCCTGGTACCACAAACATAGGCAACCATCTGCATCGACAAATGTCATAGAAGAGAATCTATGACTGCCATTTTTCTAAACCAGTATAGTTTCAAGATGTATTTTAAATATGCAATCCACAGACAGGTAAGTGTAGCTTTCACCCCTTATTTAAAAAAAAAAAAACATTTTAAAGCAGACAGGGGCAATTACAGTGATCCACAACAGGGCAAATGCAGAGAATGTCACTGTGGAGTGCCCAGCCTATATGTACATCTGCAACACAACCCCTATACACAAGACTGAAGAAGCTTCACTGAAAAGGGAATGGAAATGTTGTTAGAGAAGAGGACCAGGACATCTGATTTGAGATATTGCCTTTTAGACACTGCCTAAACAAGACCTGTAGAATTGCATTAGTTAACTTGCCAACATAGATGGGGGAAACTTCACAAGGCTAGATGGAAAGCTATATATGGATTCTAAGAGAACATAGAAAGGAAGAATCCCCAGTTCTCTAGGGAAAGGCCATCTAATAGGTCATCCAAATCCCCAGTGGCCAGCCCTAAATGCATGTACAGATGAGCAACATGAAAAGGGCTCAGTAGGTTTATGTACTTATGTATGTGTGTATGTGTGTGTATATTTGAATATAATGAATATATAACTTTCTAAAATTCTCTATGTTAAAATTTCAGTTAACCCTTTGATCTTTGCTTTGCATCATCAACTGTTTTATTCGAGAATTTAAAAACAGACGCAACACAGTCTAATTTAAAGTTTCTTTAATTGAAAGTGTCCCCAGGAACTATATTTCATAAATACTTTCTGTCTGCAGTCCCTTCTACAAATTCTTTCTGAACACTTTTTGGCATTTTGAGGTTATTATGGCATACAGGGAATACAAACTTCTATTCCACTTGTACTAATGCAAATGCTCTTGGGGGTGTGAGGTGCTTAAGGCTCCTTGATATGCCTTTCTATAAGCTCTGTACAGAAAATTTAACCTCCCCGAGTCCCAGATTCTCATGTTTTGTGGTGTGAGTGTGTGTGTAGCTCACAGTGCTGCATACTAGCCTGGGATAATGAAGCTGCCCGGTTTGAGTTCCTCCAGGTGACATTCTCTGCATTTTGACCTGTTGTAGATCTCCATAAAAGCCTTTTCCCTTATTCCATTAAGACATTTTCATACATCCATTGATGTTGGCCCATTAATTAATGTTAATTGTGCAGGTCTTGTTTAGGCAGCCATACTGTTGATCTTCTGTGGTTTCAACATCTGTGTTGTATCTAGAAGGCACTATCTTGAATAAGACACCCTCGTCTTCTTCTCTAATAACCGTTCCATCCCCTCCTCAGTGAGGTTTCCTGAGCGTTGTGCATAGGGGTTGTGTTACAGATACAAATCAGGGCTGGGCACTCCACAGCCACAGTCTCTGCAGTGTGCTCTGTTGTAGGTCACGGTGATAGTCTATTTCCTTATTTCATCCTGACATTTTCACACATAGGTACATTTGTCATATTTTCCAAGGGATCATATATATCCTTCCTATAAGAACATACATATGGGGTTGAGAATCATCAACCACAGTAGAAAAAGACAGGGAATCCAGAACACAGAAGCATCATCCTTGCTGTGAGTCATTGACTTCTCCTGCATTGCTGGGAGTACCTGCACCATTCTGCTCAGGGTGCTTCAGAATGGCCTAAGGTAATGAAGCTGGCTAGCTTAAGTTGATTTCTATCCATAGTACTGTGGAGAAAGAGTAGCACTGTCCAAGCAGAAGGGAAATAAAGACCCTCCTGGACACATGGTGTCTGCATCCTGAACGAGGATCCATCCCTGGTTATTGGTGATTGGGAGAGAGAGCTTGAGCACAGAGCTGACTTGTGAACCACAGAGACATAATATCAAGGTCACAGAGTAAAAGTGTATGTGCTTCTCCAGAAGCACAATTGATCCTTTCCCCTCCTGTTGGATTCACATTCTGCACTTGTTCCATCAATCTCTTCTCTCAGAAAATGAAGAGCTAGGTTCTTCCGCAGGAGGTAATGCCACAGGGTTAATCTTTGATTCTGTTCAGCTTCCACTGAAATGTCTGGTTTTTAAGTCAATTAAAAGGTTATTAGGTGTGGAAAAATTAGGGCAAGATTATATTAATTTATGATGACATCTAAAATATCAAAGAGAGCTTATTTTTATCCACCTCATTAGTAGGAACAATTTATCACCAACTCCTTTTTTAAAAAAATCAAGATGAATTCTGTGGTTCCTTTGAAGACATATTAGTATGATTTCCCATGACTTTTGGAAGGTATTTTAGACCTCTTCCATAGCCACTGCTATCAACCAGCCTTGTTTTCTTTGTGGAAATATCTAGGACTAAGGCTCTGTGAGAACACAAAGAGAAGAAACTAAGCATGTGATCAGTGGGAGAGCTGAACTGAATAACTTTGAAAGTGAGATAACTGAAGGTGATAATGGTGTCCTCCTGCATCTTTTTATCTTTCTTTGGATGACCAAAATAGTCAGTCAGAGCAGAGCATTTAGGCAAAGGCAAAGGAATGAAATGTCATTACCGTTTGCGTTAGATTCCATAAAGGAGGTATAAACTCAGAGTTGTATAAAAATAATGATGGGAGAGTCCTTAGATGAGAGACACAGAATAGTCACGGGTTCTGATTCTCAGGAAGGTCTATGAGAGAATTCACAAGCATCCTGGGAATAGCATTGTGTTCAGAGACCTATCTCCTAATGCTGCTCTCCTTTGTTCCCTTGCAGAGCTACAGTGATCCTGTTGATGTTAAGACATCTCAGCCACCCCAGCTGGTCAACTCCAAGCCGTCAGTGTTCCATGGGCCCAGTCAGGCCCACTCAGCCCTGTACCTCAGTTCTCACTATCACCAACAACCAGGGATGAATCCTCACCTCACCGCCATGCACCCAAGCCTCCCCAGAAACATAGCACCCAAGCCGAATAACCAAATGCCAGTGACTGTCTCCATAGCCAACATGGCTGTGTCCCCACCACCGCCCCTCCAGATCAGCCCACCTCTTCACCAGCATCTCAGCATGCAGCAGCATCAGCCGCTTGCCATGCAGCAGCCCATTGGGAGCCAGCTCCCCATACAGGTCCAGTCTGCCTTACATTCACCCACCATGCAGCAAGTAAGTTTCTACACTTAGGTTCTGGGTATCTCTGGAGGGCTGGGGGTGGGGCTGTCTATCAAGTAAAGAAGACAGGGGTGGTTATTCTATTAAAATGGCAAGAGAACTGTGGGCATTTGACAGACTTACATCTGCAAAATATAATTTGCAAATGCCACATTGTCAGAATCACCATCCCAGGACTTGATAACGCTTCCTTTTGAGTCACTGGTTTCTTTACCCAGATATAGCTACTTGGTATTCCCTTACTGGTGGTCCCTTTGTTTCTGGTTTCCATTTCTTTAGTGAGAACATGTGCTAAGATGCCATGTGTATCACAGATCTTGTTGAAACAGAGTTAGTCTGTAATTTCTTTTTAATGCCATTAGGAAATGAGGCTTTCTTGACTGGGATGACCCTTGAGTTCAATAATTGGTATACAATGAAATCAGATTCAATACCAAATTTAGTAGAGCTCTAAAAACACTAGGAACCAAACAGTAACTGGAGCTTCATTTTGAAATGTATAGAGGGAGGCTCAGGTGAAAGCAGCATTTTACCAGCATGTGACAGTCCCTGGGTTTAATCCCTAGCATTGCAAATGCATAGAGGGGGTTGTGTTTGCAGAAATAGGAAACAGAAAAGGTATCTGGCTAATCTTGTTTAGTTTTTATTTGAAATCAAATTTTCTTTTCAGATTCTTTCAGATTTTGATGCACTTTCATAATTTGAGAATTAGGACCATCTTTAAACTCAGTGGAACATAAAATATTCAAAAACCCTGAAAACTCACTTTAGAAAATAGGCAATGGTTAAAAATTACCAATCATAGCCAACTTAACCACTGCCTTTAACATTCAATTATCATCTTTTCCTAGAATTCTGAGTAAACACATAAGCACAGCCTCCTGCAAAATTCATATCTTGCTGTTTGTACACAGGATGTGTGCTTACCCTAGGAACATTAGGGAAAGGGGAAGCAGAAGGATGAGCCACGTCTAGAAAGTCTAAAATATATTTTATTATGATTATTATAGACAGGATTTTTGAAAGCTGACTACAGCTAAGCCAGTACTTAGCACTTAAATTCTCAGAAAAGTCCAAGTATTGGTGCTACCCCCGTCTTCATTTAAGTGGATAGAGACACTGGGGCTTCCCTGGGGACAGCACTGAACTCACAAGGTGAAGGTGGGATTCGAGCCCAGATCCAGTCAGAACTCAGAAGCATTGTTCTAGATGCTCACACTTTCTTGTAGATTATTAACAGATTTCTATCAGAATTCCTCTGTCTTCCAAGACTTTCGAGGGCCTTTAAATCTTAGTTACTTGTAAAATCAAATCTTTTATGAAACTTAAAGGAATTCATCAACTCGCTGTATTTCTTGGCTCGCAAACCAAATATATTAGTAGCTAACTTTCTTACCTACACACCACAACCTGTTGCTGAAGCTGAATCACTAGAAGGAAAGACCTTGGTGGTAACAGTTTCCAAACTCTAGCCCTGACTCCAAGTGCATTTATGACCAAGAGATGTGCATGGGGTAGAATTCCTCACCCTGTGCATCAGACATTACCCACAGGGAAATGGGCACTACTGATGCCTTTATACTTTAGTGAGTCAATGGTATTTGCTTGAAGAACAAGCAGTTGGGTAGCTGTCACCGTTGCTTGGGTGGTTGACACTGGCTTGCAGGAGCTGTGGGCTGAGGTACATGTGCTGAAGTTCATCTACTTCTTCCCAAGGGAAAGAACACAAAGACAGTGGGAAAGACCTATCCAGAAAGGAAGTACTTTCCTATTTTATCCACTCAAGAGTGTCTCTTTCTTTTCCTTATGTTGACACCTTGGCTAGGGAAAGGGTCACTAGGAATAGTTTTCTGCTATTTGAAAATTATAAGAGGCTACTTATAAAACCTCAAGAGATTTCTCTCACCATCAGAATCTAAATTTAGGGTGGGAAATAACTCACATTGGTTTGAACAAGGGATTTATCAATCTATAAGTCAACTTTGTTAGTGTATCGCAAAAGTTTTCTGGGGTTGGAGCTCACAATAAAAGATAATGGTAGGAACTCACAATGAAGAAAAATAGCCACAAAAATGGAGTTTACTAAAATAGCTTCCAACAATGCCTTGACTGTGTAGGCTGTTAGTAAAACAACTATGAAATGATAAACCTCTAAGCAATTAAATGATCAGTATGCTATACTACTTGGAGAAATTGAATTTGGCTGTAGAGTCTTAATTTCTTGGAAAGTTAAAAAATATTTTCTATGATAAAAATAATTTAAACATTTCTTTACATGTGTCAGGCTCTGCCTGGCATCTTAAACTTAAGTGATCTAGGAGTCTAGGGAGAGGGACCCATGCTCCCTAGAGTTGGAGTATGGGAAGTGATGGGAACAAGACAAGTGGAAATCCAACGGCAAAGATACAGGATGAAACCAGCTCATGGAGGAAGGGTGGAGAGCACCTTCACAGACCCCTCAAGGGTTGCAGAGACTAAAGATGCAAAGACAAGCAACATTTAAACACTTGGCTGGAGTGGTGGTGGAGTAGGAAGAGCGTGAGGACATTCCAGCAAAGACCAGTAATCACAAAAATAGGTTCTAAGAGATGAAAAAGATGGGGACAGTATCTGTGTCATGGGCAGGTAAATAGCAAGGAGCCTGCAGATTTGAGGGACTGGAAGCTCTTGTCAATGGACTTTTCTAAAGACAAGACGGAAGAGATGGCGCCAACAGATGGGATGCAGTACACTCTCAACCGTTTGTTGGGTCCACTATTCACATCATGAATGAGATTTTAGCCTGTAGATTGAAATTGACCTGCCTGACTCATCATCCAATCCACCTTTTTTCCTGAAGCTGTTAACTTCCTAGTGTGTTGTCCACATTCCTATCTAAGTACCAAAGGGAAAAAAAGAAAGAAATGAAAGCCAACAGCTATTGCACTTTTTAAAGATGGTGTCACATTTCAGTATTACTGTAGATACTTTATTATCCCTTTGAAAATGAATGTTTCCAACAACAACAAAAAAAATGATTGTTAGTGTGCTTGGAATGATAGTTCCATTATTTTCTTAAGAATATCTTATACACTGAGCTCATGGATCCACTTTTTTGTTTCAGTTTTCTTTCTATCTCTCAGTGCACATTTATTGGGGAATGAGGTCAAGAAAAAAATCATTAATATCTGTCACTTTCCTTTATAACCTTAAGAAAAAATCTTTGTAAGGTATCACAGACAGATTTTCAATTTCCTTGTGTAATAAACAGCTGCTTTAGGATTTGGGTGTAATTTAAAGTTTTTTTTTAAATCACATTGAGATTGATGAATAAATCAGTCATAAAGACAAAACATTGATGCCTGTTGAAAATACCTCTCCAGACAGGCAGGAAATGAAATTAGTTTGCAGTAAAGTGTGGCTATGAGGATGACTGCTTGGTGGTGCTACAGGCTTTTTCAGACTTGCTATGTAGCAAAACAAAACTGTGAGGGCTACAGGAATCTAATTAAAGAGCAAATGTCCCTTCTGACATCAAATTAATCTTTATCATGTTTCCTATTTTTATTCCAATCTGGCACCAGAAAATGAAATTTAAAATTCCAGGCATGCTACAAAACAGTTGGTGATTTTTCTCCTGAGCATTAAAATGCAGAATATCCAGTCTCGTTTAATTAGACTGCTAAGCAAACATTTTTCAAAAAATTTATGTCATCATTGTTGTTTCCTATTTACATCCATAACAGAAGTATACTTAGTGCAAGGGTTGACCTCAGCATCTCTTTATATAGTGTTCTGAGGAATGTCTCCAATTCTGTCTTGAAAGTAACATAATGTTAAATACCGTTACTTTGGTCTGTACCTCTATTTTTCTTGGTCTTTAGTTGTTTGAGCAGAAGTGATTTATTTAGATTTTGAAGGTAGCATAATTTCCATCTTGGAACTTTGTAGATAACACATGGTTTTGTATTAAGCTAGTAATTTAAAAAATGGTTTCCTTATATTCTGACTCAACCTGTGGAACTATTTCCACTGTGTGTATTACTTTTCCATTTGTCTGTACCTTCAACTAATTCAGGATATTTCCAGTTCCTTTTTGTTTTGATCCTTGTTTGCTTTTAGGTTACATGTTGTCAATTATGTGGAAAAGCCAATGGAGAAGATTACGTTAAAAAGACAAATAAGCCTTGAGAGTCATATGTTCATATTTGACTTTCTTACAGTAGCATCAAATGGTCTTTATTTCTTGAAAAACAGGATTTATTGAGTCACTGTTGAAGACTAGGCCCTGTAAGCCTTGCAAACACTGATCACAGTGTCCAGCAGGCACCCTGGAGATGAGCTCAGTGGTGAAAGAAACCAATACAGACTCTTTCAGGACTTCTCCCTGCCCTCCATCTAGCATCACACTAGACACCAGGGAAAAGAAATTGAGAAGGTGGGTAGCAGGCCAGGACCAGAGGAATGAGGGTACTTCACTGAGGCCAGTGAGACTACTTCCATGTTGGAAATCCAGGAAGACCTAGAGAAAGGTGAAACTGCACCCCCCCACCACCCCTCACCCCGGCCAGGGCAATGCTTTCAGCCTGAGCTACAAGGGCCTCTATTCTGGAATGCCTCCTACAAGACAACTGTTACCTAGGAAAGCTATTGCTTTAAATCTGCCTTAGAGCAAATCAACCAGTATGGCTAAACTCTGGGCTTGTTGGCGACTTATTTCCCATCACTCTGAATTCTGCCTCTCTCCACTTTTTTATGGGAGCTGAAATGGCCATGGGCCTATACAGCCCTTATCATTGGAATGGCACTACAATGGACCTCTTAAAGCCAACCAGGGGTTAAGGAAACTTGATCTGAGATGTGGTCTTCCCATCACTATTTGAGGGACCACCCACAGATTAGTAAAAGTCTGAGGAAATATATTTAGTTAAAAATCCACCCTCTCACCCCTTCTCTGAGTGTAAGGAAAGTCATCAACAGTATTTTACCTCCAAAGCTGCTTGCAAATAATCAGAGCATGGTTTGTTCCTAATCTTGATTTCTTGGGTGCTAAAAACCGTGGCTACAATTTGCTGCAGAGACAACCATGAGATTAATTAAGCTGCTTTCTGTGGTCACTTCCAGCAAAGCCTGCTTATGCTGCTCTTGAATTCACCAGAGAAGCTAAAAATAAATTGTGCATAATGCTTTTTGTTTACCAGATATAGCTATATACTTCAGATTCTGTCCTTGAATTTTTAATAGCTTTACTGGGATTAAAAGTCAACATTTCACCATATTAATACATTAAAAAAAATCTTCCTGAAGTCTGAGTATTGTTTGCCAGCTAAGGGACTTTTCAACTAAAAGTGTTTGCTGTCTTTACATGTTTTATTCCCTGTGTTTTCCAATGGCAAGTTGTTCTCCATCTCTTCCCCTGTATTTGTTCAATAACTGATTTGAAAAAAAATAAAAAGCTTTGATTGAAATTTTCAGCCCATAAAGGAATACAAGAAAACCGCAAAGCAGATGGCCCCATTGTGACTGAATGAAGAAAAGGGTTTTAAGAACTCTATGTGAATAGGTGTAGTCTAATAACAGTCAGCCACATGCTGCCTGAATCCTTCCGGAAGACTCCCTTACTTATTCTAGGGCTTAACTAGTAATGTATCTTTAGGTTCATAGGAAACATCGACGATGAGGGGCTTAAGGTCATTTTCCCTTTGCTTGGATTGAGTTGGCTTTTCTACAATTTAAATTGTTGCCCAACTCAATTCATCTGCCCAAGGGCTAATGAAAGGATTTTGACATGTGGTTAAGCGAAGGGAAGATATGAAGAATGAGGTGGGTAGGTGTTTCTTTTCTACTTTAAGTAGGGATGGGGGATGCTTCTCTGGGTTCCTGCAGCAGCAAGGTGTTCTACCATGTGTGCAGGCATGGATAACTACGTCCTTGCTTTCCTCTTTTAAATAGCACTGTTTCTCAAGTGTGGATTTGCTTCCTCCCCCACC